TTGCTGTTAAATTACTCAGAAGATTGGTTTCCATGGAGTCATGCTACAACTTTATGAAGCTATTATAAACAGCAGCTGTACTATTGATGGGCAATCGGTTTAAAATCATAATTGAGAATCGGTTTCTAATCGAAAGTAGTAAACTGTCATTGATGATCGATTGCATAATCCGTTCATAATTTTATGGGACTGAATAGGATGGATGGACAAATGGACAGAGTTACTATCAAGAGCCAAAAACGGATGGACAGACAGACTGACGGACACAACATAAAACATGAATAACCAATAACCATAGGCTGAAACAACATGACATTTCTTTACACACACATAGTTTTGTAATATATATTAATTAGATCAATATTAATTAAATCAATAGGATTTTAACTCCCTTTGCGTAGAATGGAAATTTCCTGGCGTTCACACAAATACGAAATTATGTAGTAGTACCAGGTAGGTAATGCTAAGATGTGACGTACTGTTAGTTTTGTTGAAATTGGATTACTACTACTTTAAGCTGTAGTGTGAACCATTATATTTAAAGATGGACAGATTGTCAGACATCCCCGACCTTTTGTACATACCAATCTTATGGATTTTTTGCAAGGGGGTATACAATCAATCTGAAATCATTTTTAAAACTATTCTTTTAGTCAGGCCTAATGTTTTGCAAAGCATAAAAATATCTATCCCTTTTATCTTGTGACAATTTCTGAAGCATGAGACTAGTACATAACCCACAAAGGAATTAACTTACAGACATAGTCCTGTTTTCATTCAGAAACCAGACATCTCACAAATCAATACGCTATTTTATCACAGACACATGAATATTAATCATGTTTGCTACTTCAGAGAGGTCAAATTGTCTAGACATCACACAGCAGTATTTCAACCATCATAGACATTCTATACATGTATGTGTAAATGTTATATATGTATCAGTTTACCATGACTAATCAGTGTGCCAAACTTTGCATTGTAATATGAGCAAATTTCCAGGTAAGACAATTCACATATTTATCTTAAATGATATCAGACACATACAAAGTAAGAAATGATATCAGACACATACGATGTAAACAATGATTCAGACACATACAATGTAAGCAATGATATCAGACATATACAATGTAAGCAATGATATCAGACACAATTATATACAATGTAAGCAATGATATCAGACACATACAATGTAAGCAATGAAATCAGACACATACAATATGATATCAGACACATGCAATGTAAGTAATGATATCAGACACATGCAATGTAAGCAATGAACTCAAGCCACATACAATGTAAGAAATGATATCGAACACAAACAATGTAAGCAACCGATATCAGACACATACCATACAATGTAAACAATGATTCAGACACATGCAATGTAAGTAATGATATCAGACACATGCAATGTAAGTAATGATATCAGACACAAACACTGTAAGCAACTGATATCAGACACATGCAATGTAAGTAATGATATCAGAAACATACAATGTAAGAGAAATGATATCAGACACATACAATGTAAGAAATGATATCAGACACAAACAATGTAAGCAACTGATATCAGACACATACAATGTAAACAATGATATCAGACACATACAATGTAAGCAATGATATCAGACACATACAATGTAAGAAATGATATCAGACACATACAATGTAAGAAATGATATCAGACATATACAACGTAAGCAATGATATCAGACACATACAATGTAAGCAATGATATCAGACACATACAATGTAAGCAATGAACTCAAGCCACATACAATGTTAGCAATGATATCTGACACATACAATGTAAGAAATGATACCAGACACATACAATACAAGCAATGATATCAGACACATACAATGTAAACACTGATAGCAGACACATATAATGTAGGCAATGATATCAGACACATATAATGTAAGCAATGATATCAGACACATACAATGTAAGCAATGATATCAGACACATACAATGTAAACAATGATATCAGACACATACAATGTAAGCAATGATATCAGACACATACAATTTAAGCAATGAACTCAAGCCACATACAATGTAAGCAATGATATCAGACACATATAATGTAAGAAATTATATCAGACACATACAATGTAAGCAATGATATCAGACACATAAAATTTAAGCAATGAACTCAAGCCACAAACACTGTTAGCAATGATATCTGACACATACAATGAAAGAAATGATACCAGCCACATACAATGCAAGAAATGATACCAGCCACATACAATGCAAGAAATGATATCAGACACATGCAATGTAAGTAATGATATCAGACACAAACAATGTTAAGAAATGATACCAGCCACATACAATGTAAGGAATGATATCAGACACATAAAATGTAAGCAATGATGTCAGACACATACAATATAAGCAATGATATCACACACATATAATGTAAGCAATGATAGCAGACACATATAATGTAAGCAATGATGTCAGACACATATAATGTAAGAAATTATATCAGACACATACACTGTAAGCAATGATATAAGACACATATAATGTAAGCAATGATATCGGACACATACAATGTAAGTAATGATACCAGACACATTCAATGAAAGAAATGATACCAGACACATACAATGGAAGCAATGAGATCAGACACATACAATTTAAGCAAGAAACTCAAGCCACATACGATGTAAACAATGATAACAGACACATACAATGTAAGCAATGATATCAGACACATACAATGTTAAGAAATGATATCAGACACATTCAATGTAAGCAATGATATCAGACACATACAATGTAAGCAATGATATCAGACACATACAATGTAAGCAATGATATCAGACACATACAATGTAAACAATGATATCAGACACATACAATGTAAGAAATGATATCAAACACATACAATGTAAACAATGATATCAGACACATACAATGTTAAGAAATGATATCAGACATATACAATGTAAGCAATGATATCAGACACATATAATGTAAGCAATGATATCAGACACATACAATGTAAGTAATGATATCAGACACATACAATGTAAGCAATGATATCAGACACATACAATGTAAGCAATGATATCAGACACATACAATGTAAGCAATGATATTTTATGGGACTGAATACCAAGTGAGAACACTACTATTACAACCAGAGACAGAGTTGTTAAATTAATACACAAAGTTTCGTTCTTTTATAATAAATGGATTTCAAACAAGTTTTATGCAGTTATATCAATCATATAATAAAAAAAGTCCAAAGAATATATGACTTTCAATACCTATATAGGTACATTTTTTACATTAAATGAAAACATTAACACTGACTTCAATGAAGAACCAATTTTATACACAACAAAAACGATGAAACAACAGTTTACCTGTTTCTTACAATTCGAGATATTTAAATGAGGCAGATAGCAAGATAAAAGAAAATACAAACTTATACTTTGGCGTATCAGGGGCTACTCACTCAACACAATAAGCTAACTATATACAATACTACAAAAACAAACATGTACTGACGAGGTAGCCTCCTAAGCAAAGAAAGAGGCCACAAGGAAAAACAAAAATATATTCTCAGTAATATAATTTAAGTAGGCCAGACAACTAACTCTTGAGCGATTCAAGACAGGCCGAAAGTAAATATCTAGTGAAAGTTTACGTTCTCGAGTTTACGTATACATGTAGATATCTAGAGAAAACCCTTGAGCGATTCAAGAGCTGCATATAAGATAGAACGTTCTTGAGCGATTCAAGACAGTATACATGTAGATATCTAGAGCAAACCCTTAAGCGATTCAAGAGCTGCATATAAGATACTCATATATATAAGTAGTAAAGAAAGCTTTTAAGCGATTTAAAAGCCGAGAGCTTTGCCTTGAGCGATTCAAGAGAGGCAAACTGACCACCAGACTTAAGCGATTTAAGAGCTGGCAAGACGAAACTCCTGAGCGATTCAAGAGCCTAGTAGAATCAAGAATAGACAGAAAAATTAAAGCAAAAGCAGTAAAATAATCAACAGATTTTCTATAAGTGACATTGCAATTACAATGGCTACAATAGTGAGTTTTGACAATGTAATACCCTCATTCACCAAAGATGATTCTGACTATGTTTGAGTAATTTCCTACAGAAAGTTGTCAAAATATGCCCAAAAGTGTTATTTCCCTATATAAACTATAGTAAACTTTACCCCCTCCCCAAGGGAGAACGAATAGCTCGGGGGTCATAAAATTTACAATTTAAATAAAGCCCCTGATGATCTTTCTTTTCATGCAGAGAAAATCACTGTAGTACCTATGAGTCTGCAGGGAGCCTTCGGGCAGGTGAGCTAATAAACTATAGTAAATTTAACCCCCTCCCCAAGGGAGAACGGATAGGGCGGGGGGTCCTGAAATTTACAATTTCAATAAAGCCCCTGATGATCTTTCTTTCCATGCAGAGAAAATCACTGTAGTATCTCTGAGTCTAGAGAAGAAGATTTTTGAAATATTGGTTAAATTTCCCTTTGGGGCCCCACCCTGGCCCCAGGGGTTGGGGTAGGAATCCCAATTTTACAATTTTGTAGCACCTCATCTACCAAGGATGATGGTACCAATGATGCAAGTGAATGTCAAGTGCAAATTCTGAATTTACATTACAATATTTGTTCATGTTATTCAGAAAACTTTATAAACTTGTTTTAAGTTTTAAATTTCATGAACATAAAGGTTCTTTTGAATTAATCAAGAACACTTTTCATGAACTGTTCATAAACATGACCATCAACATTGAATGGCAATAATGAAAGAACAATCACTATAAATAAAAGTTCATCAGTTTCATTTTGAAGTTCAAGAGCTATAAGTTTCATGAACTAAATGATCATGAGTTTCATAGAGAGTCGGCGGGCCGTCTCTGTTGTAGTCTGACCCAGGAACAGTAATATGCTAGTCATCTTCCTCTCTCGGCTGTAGGCTAGGGAATCCATCAACAAAATGGCCTCTCACCAACAAATCTTGGCTTTTGTTTCATTTTCATCAGGTAAGATAAAAACAATTTATATTATCTTAGAAAAAACCCACCAAAGGAAGTTCTCCGAAAAATGAAGGAAACCCCTCATTATTTTATCACAACTTTAATTTGAAGTGTGGAGTTTACATTTGATCCTGTCTTTGACAATTTATATATTCTTTGGATGTTAATTGGTTGTTAATGGAACTTAATTTCAGTTTTTGCTTCATTCATGATACAAATTTCATTACATAATGTATTAAAAGTTACTCCCTTCATTGACATCTGTATACCATATTGATCCATATTAGTGTTTTATTGTTTCATGAAGAGGAGAATATAATGATTTCATACTTGCCAACCCTTTTCAACCAGTGAATTTTCTATTCTTATTGTTAAGATCTGATGATTTCATCTGAGATAAAAGCTTAAAAGATGTAATTTAAAAGTGTTATTTTCCCCTGGGAGTATGTATATACACACCTTTAATTTATGTTTTTAATTCTGAGCACAAGTAATCTCGGGGCCCCATGGAAAATTCAAAAAGTTGGCAAGTATGTAATTCCAGTGCCAGGCTGATCAATATCCGTAAACACTTGTAAACAGATCAGGCAGATCTGTATAATATCCCATTTAATTCACGCTAATAAATCTACAGGTTTCAAATAACTCATAAAATGTCATCTATGTCTTTGTTCATAAAAATGTAGTTCATTGGTCAGTATGTGTATACATATATATACAGGTGGTAAACGACTAATGTATGGAGTTATTAGTTACATATAGAAACTGTGCAATGTCTTTTTTAAATAAGGGGGCATTTGCTAATACACTATCATTCAGGATTAATCACTAAACACAGCTTGACTACTATTATATATAGTCGGTGTTTAACCTGAGTGTATCAGCGACCAGCACACACATTCCTGAAAACGACAACGGAATGGTTTGGTAATATGAGAGTTGTAGTGTACTTAAGGAATGATATAAAGTATTGAGAGTACTAGTGATGTTCAGTGCATCAGCAGATATCTGATTGCATCTGTTTATATATACAAAGGTATTCCTGGAAACCTTCAATATCCGTGGAATTCTCTTTCATCATCATGGTATAGCCAGCTACAATGGTTGATAATATTTACTGCAAGTCTATAATGGTGTGTATAAAATACAGTTTTTTTCATTGTGGTAATCTAAATAAATCTAACATCACCGGACAGCAGCTCAGGATTTTGATAAAGAAACTATTGTTGCTACTCTTGCTAAAACATTATGCTACCTTTGTAACATTGGTATATATTAATATCAGGCCCATTAGGGCCATATTGGTCCCCTTAGTTGTAAAACAGTTGTTTCTCATTTTTGTGATGTGACAAACAAAATGTTTTACAGACTGCCAGATAAACAAGAGGCCCAGAGGGCCTGTATCGCTCACCTGAATATGTTTAAAATAATTGGTATGAAGTATAGATATAGACATGAAATTTCAGAAAGATCCATCCAGTACTTGAGATATAACAAATTTCAAACAGAGCCTCACCTCTATGCCCCTAGGGGGGTCATACCCACCGTTTATACAAAATTGAGTCCCCTTGGCCAAAGGATGCTCCAGACTAAATAAGGATAAAATCCCTTAATCACGATGGTCGAAGAAGGATTTTAAAGGTTTTACCTCTATTTCTCCTATAGGGCCCAGCCCCTCAGGTCCCAGGGGGGCAACACCCACCGTTTATACAAAATTGGTTCCCCTTTACCCAAGGATGCACCACACGAAATATGGACCAAATCTTTTCATTCCTACAGAAGAAGAAGGATTTTAAAGAATAATTTGCTATGTTTCCCCTATTGGGCCCCGCCTCTCAGGCCCCTGGGGGGTCAGACCCATGGTTTATACAAAATTGGTGTCCCTTCACCCAAGGATGCTTCTGACCAAATATGGAATAAATCCTGTCATTCCTACAGTAGAAAAAGGATTTTTATTTAATATATTTCCCATATTGGGCCCCGGCCCTCAGCCCCCAAGGGGTCCAGACCCACCGTTTATACAAAATTGGTTTCCCTTAATCCAAGGATGCTCAACACCAAATATGGACCAAATCCTGTCATTCCTACAGAAATAGAAGGATTTTAAAGAATAATTTGCTATGTTACCCTATTGGGCCCCGCCCCTCAGGCCCTTGGGGGGCCAAACCCACGGTTTATACAAAACTGAGTCCCCTTGGCCCAAGGATGCTCCAGACTTAATAAGGATAAAATCCCTTAATCCCTATGGTAGGAGAAGGATTTTGAAGGTTTTACCTATTTCCCATATTCGGCCCCGCCCATCTGCCCCAAGGGGTGCCACACCCACCATTTATATAAAATTGAGTCCCCTTGGCCCAAGGATGCTCCAGACTAAATTAAGATAATATTCTATAATCCCTACGGTAGAAGAAGGATTTTGAAGGTTTTACCTCTATTTCCCCTATTGGGCCCCGCCCCTCTGCCCCCAGGGGGGCCACACCCACCATTTATACAAAATTGAGTCCCCTTGGCCTAAGGATGCTCCAGACCAAATTTAGTCAAAATCTACATGGCCGTTCAGGACTAGTACCGTTTTAAAGGAAAAGTTGACGGACGGACGGACGACGGACGCTGCGGTATGGCATAAGCTCACCATGGTCCTTCGGACCAGGTGAGCTAAAAAACACTTTAGAGTGATCGATAAATTATATTATACAGGTACGCAGACAAAGCCTTTTGAGTTTAATTCTACACTCTGTAATATACCAGTAACGTTGATATTTATAGAATTACAATGGGCCCCAAGCTTTAATATTGGACTCCTTGAGAATAAGATAATCAAAATTATTCAACCTATTTTATCTCACCTTGTTTAACAAACAAGAGACCCAGAGGGCCTGTATTGCTCACGTGGATATTTAAGCAATCATTGCAAAAGATTCTCAATGATAGTAGTATGGCAAAAAAGATCTTAGGGAAAGGTCCATTCCCCTGGACTAATTCTGCCAGCATGTGTGTATCCAAATCTTCATTCTCAGTAATTGTATATATTACAATAGGGTGGGGATCTCAAAGGTTTCCATGTTATGATCCAGGGACTTAGTCCCTAAGGGTGTGGCCAAACCCAAGGGTCAATTCTAATATCAGTATTGTACCTGTCGATTTGTGACTAGCAATTGTATACCTGTATATGTTTATAGGGTTGGTATCTCAACCGTTTAAAAGTTTATATGATCAAGCAACTCTGTCTGCATGGGTTGGGCCAGACCCCAGGGCCATTCTGGTAAAATATGTGTGTTTGTCCATACTCAGTATATATATGGTTATAGGCTGGGGGTCTTTATCATTTCCAAGTTAAAATCACTTTTTGGCCCTTCCCTTCAACCTTCCAGTAGCTTGGGTCAGCCCTTCAAATTGTAAAAGTCCCACCAACTGATAATGCATCCATCCTAGCTGAGTCGGTAGGAAGTGGCTAGTATTTTACCAGGCTGGGTGACATAATTATATATGCACCTAGCTCAACTTGGCCCTTTAATATTGAGCGCCTTATACAATGTAAATAATACACATGTAATGTCATGTGTATATATAGCCATTGGACAGCAGAATGTTCCAGAAATCTATAACAGTGGGGAATCCCCAACCATGCACATTCAAAATATTATGAAATGTTTTGAACTTGCCTGTTAGATACAAAATTCACCTGAAATGACCAGCTTGTGTATTCTGTTTTAACTAAACAATAGAAACACACAAAAGGTAAGGCATATAGATGTTATGTCAATCTGAACTAAAGTAGGGAAACATGTTTTGATTTTATGAGGCGGCTTTTAAACTTTCGAGCATTTATTGTTCGGGCGTTCCAGAGCATGATAACTGCTGAACGATCTGCATGGTCATCACGGTCTCTGTTAACACCTAGGTGTACTTAACTGGTCATTTGTTTGATAAATTTAGTGGTTTTTAATGAAATCTATTCCCTGTTAATGAGCGAGATTAGGATATCTCAGAAGAGGGCTAAGATTCTGTAACGCCTCGGTTGTAAAAATGTTACAGAATTTTAGCCCTCAATGAGATAACCTAATCTCGCTTGTATTCATGAAACTGTTCTCATGTTCAAGCATTGATATTGTGCTCAAACCGATTTTCTTGTAACTCACTTAAGTCATGTCAAATGATCAAAAAGTCAAATGTAAACATTGAAAACAGTATTTGGCATTAAGTCTCTTCAATTTTATTCCAATATCATTGACAAAATAAGATTTCATTATGAATTTATTAACGAAACAAGAAATTAGGCTTGAGCACAAAATTCATGCTTTCAGAGCATGAGAATGGTTTTATAAATAGGGGCCCTGATCTTGTTCAGTTACAGCTATTTTTTCTCTCACACCTTTTAGTTAAAAAAATCTTCAAATAAATATTGTCTCTACGTTACTTAAAGCTACGTTTGAATGCTTCAGCGTAGAAATGTACTCCGTTCTTACAAAGGCAACGTATTTCACAGTTTAGATTATTTTCTATCTGCAACCTCAGATATCTTACAACATTAAAACAATACATATAACGACAAAACAGAATATCTATAATGCAGGTTTTCAATTTCGAGACTATAAAACGCAGATGACTACATCGCTGTGTAAAAATTCTGCGTAAATTGTCACGTAAAGGTACTAGACAGATCAAGCGAGATAGAAATATCTAGCTCTAGGTTAATGACGTGGATATATATATATCCGACTGTCTGAGGTGAGAGAAAAGATTGTCACATATACTGAACTAGTCATCAAAAAGGAACTCATATATCAATGTTGTGCTGATGAACCTAATGTATATGCTTCAGCTAATTTATTGGTTGACATAATACTGCCTGATAAACCAATAAATGGGAGAAAAGCGCCAGCAATTCTGTTTTCTAGTTTGTTTGTACCAAATACAAGGACACCATATAATATTTCATTTGGCAGGAATGTTGGGTATACGTGCAAGCTTCATCGAGTCACTGCTTTGTAAAAACAATGTTCTTATCCAGACAGTTTGCCGACATTCTGCCAGCTTGGTCACTGGTGATGTTAGTGATGTGGGAGTTACTTCCCCTTGTTCACCAGTGGTGAACAACTGGTGTCGTAACCTGGCTGGGTCGGTAAGCCACCTGGTCTCTGTTCATAATGGCTCTGAGACAGGTTTACGACACCTTGTTCACCACTGTGGTGAACAAGGGGAAGTAACTACCACATCAATAACGTCACCAGTGACCAAGCTGGCAGAATGTCAGCGAAACTGTTGTTTGATTTCATTTTGTTTTTACATAACAGTGACTCAATGAAACTTGCCCATATATGGTTCATCAGTTTTTGAGAAGTCGAAAATTAGCATTGTTTACAGATGAACAACTATGGACAAAGGGCGATCACAATAAGTCAAAAGACTAATTGTCTAAAGTGATAAGTAATAAGTAATAAGTTTGTCTGACATTAGAACTGAAAACTTGACCTGATGATTATATTCAGTAAAAAAAATCTTTCATAATGTGTATATACATGTTCCACACAATTTGTACAATAATTTGTAAAATAGAAGTTTGTATTTCAGGGAATTCCAACAGCAATGAGGATTGCTGAAGATGCCAAGGATGACAAGTGTAAGAGGAATGCTCACCTTCAGGAACTTTCACAGGAATCCTGTGCCAAACAATTTGCTGCAAGAGACTTGAAATATCAGAAGGGGAAAAATGTCAATGTTAGACAGGCTTCAAAGCCTCGCCATACTGTGTGTAAAGAAAATGACAAACAGAATTTGTGTATAAAGTCCATTTCAGGAAAGGGTGACTATTTCTCTAGGTGTATGTACAACTCATGGGACAAACAATCCGAGGTCAGAAGCTTTAAAGACTGTAAGGAAAGAGAGTTAGGAATACAAAATCAGGAGAAGTGTGATCTTACTGATTACTCTTTGAGAAAAGCCCAAGTAAGATTGGATTTCAGAGAAAAACATGAGAGTGAAAAACTAAAAAGTTTACTTTCACCAAGCAAAAAAACTGAATATTTAGGCGGACTTAAAGGTTTGGATTGGATGTTCCAACACTCCCCTGCATCACCTGCCCAGCAGGACCAAGTTGTCAACATGATGCACTCATCAGAAATCACTGATCAGGACGTTGATTTTCATGTGCAGCCCCCGAATATCCTCAGAGACAGTGGCTTCCAAGGAAGCAATGCTCCAACAGAGGAGCCCCAAGGAAAGATCACTGATCAAGAGAACATGAGGGAGTTTAATGATACTTATCTGGGAGGATCTGAGGATTCTCATACTGAAATAATTGGTGGACCTGTCCTTGGAGATGACGGTGAGGAGAAAGTTGCAGAGGAAGTGGACACAGCAGAAGAGGAAGAGGCAGCAGTAGAGCATGAGAGAGCTGAAGAGGAGGAGTCGCATATAGTGGAGGAAGTCAATGTCAAGGGTGATGTTCTTTCAGTCATTGATAACCATGTACAGGTTGAGACAGCAGAAGAGGAGATTGAGCATATAGTGGAGGATGTCAATGTCGAGGGTGATGTTCTTTCAGTCATTGGTAACCATGTACAGGTTGAGACAGCAGAAGAGGAGATTGAGCATATAGTGGAGGATGTCAATGTCGAGGGTGATGTTCTTTCAGTCATTGGTGAGGTACAAGGAGCTCTGGAACAGCCTCTGGATCCACCAGCAGATCATGTCCAGGGCCAGTCACCAGTACACAACTTTGAAGGAGATTACAGAGACATACATGGTTCAAATCCACATAAAGTTGACTTCCCACCTACAAACAGGCAATATCCAGAGAATATTTATGATGCCAACTCTCTCACATGTGATGGACTTATTGAATCCGATGATGAAGACAGCCAACTCAGTCACATTGATTCCAATATTAACGGCAATGACAATGAAGAACAGAACTACCAAGCAGCTGCAGAACCATTGCCAACTGTTGGAGCAGTTGCCCTTAATATGTTTGGAAATCGGTCAAGATCTACACTCGAAGGAATTCCAGCGGAGCTTACAGGTAATGCTCGAGGAATTCATGTAGGGCTCATAGACACAGAGGGAGCTCAAGCAAGACCAACACAAGATGCCCAAATAAGACCAATACAAGGAGTGCATGAGGCAGGGTCTATACAAGACACGCAAGCAAGAGAAACAAATGTCTTAAGAGGATCTTGTCATGAGGGTCACATGACTAGTGAAATTTTCGAAGCAGGTCATCAAGAACTACTGTTACAGCAAAGCATACGAAACGTTACAGGAGGAAATACAAATTTGGCCAAGCAGTTCCTGTCCCATCTCAAGACAGATAGATTACTGTCACAGCACTGTGGGGTTATAGTGTGCAGGGTAGGTATCTTTTTAATCGTGCTTGTGTTTTAAATGGTAGACCATATGAACATCTGTACAAATCCAGGTTTTCTGTGTGTTGAAAACATCACATCTAATTGAAATAAAATCATCTTTAAAAAATCATAGACACATGATTATATTCACAGTTAAAGCTTTTGTTTACAGATCCTATAAAATTTTAAAAATATTCTTTTTTATTTTCATATGTCATTTTGATATCTAATTACACTGTTTCAGGAAAATGTGATCTTTTTGTTTGGCCCCTAATTATTCTGGGTTGATTATACTACTGTTGTTGTAATAAGAACTGTTATATACTATAGGCCCTACAGACAGTAGTTGAGAGAGGAGAAGGTGGGAGGTTTACCACTGGCCATGGAGGCCAGTATATTGTGGTATCTGAGGAGGGACGTGGAGGTTACGGCATTGTCCACCTTTGTGAAGCAGTCATTGTAAATGGACATCAGCTGGAGAGTGTCAAATTTGCAAGGAAAAGGGTAAGCTACAAAAAGTATGGAACCTCTTGACACTTGAAACATTGTGATGATGTCACAAGCGTCAAATAAAAAAATTATGTGCCTTGACCAATGTCCCTTCTCTCACTTATTGAACAGATTTCGGCTTATATTCATAACTTATTTATTGCAAACGGGAACTGGAACGGATCCAGAGTGAAATATGCTACTGCCATAAAATAGACCGGAGGGATCAATTTTGGTAAATATTAGTTAGGAAACGAATTCTATAAATTTACCTGTTTGTACATTCTAGATGCCAATCTGGAGGTTTAATGTACAGGAGGCTGGGTTGTACATAGACTATGGGCAACGACTACGCTGGATGCTTGATTTGAAGGGTATTGTAAGAGACGGAGACAACGTAGACCTATTCCTTCAGTATGCACCAGGTAGTAACAGATTCTATCCCAGCTTTCCTCTACAATATTTCCTTCAAAATCTCCAACTGAATTTGAGTTAACACCTATTTTGTAGTTAAAGGGAACTATGAAATTATTTCAAGTTTTATTCTGGGGTGTAAATTTTCTCCAGACAATAGCCCAATACTATTGTTTACAGCATCCTCCCCCCCCCCCCCCCCCCCCCCCTCCCCAAATATAAGGGCCAATTCTACATCACAAATTTATTTGAAAGGCAAAATTTGTTTGCAATAATTGGTTGAATTCTATGGTATGTACTTTTGTATGTAGGTGGTTCCCTTGCAAAGTGGATACAGAAATCCCCTGATCTACAGATTGTGGACAGTATTGGGCAGAATATCATCTACAATCAGATACATGGCATTGTATACCAGCTACTTAGATGTACGTCAGACTTAAACAGACTGAAGACAGCTCACTGGGATATCAAAGGTTGGTAAACAGTCACTGTGGCCATGTTCTATCCCTCAATCTATCTATATGTTATACTCCACAGATTACCAGTACAGTCACTGTGGTCAGGTTAACTGTCACTGTGGTCAGGTTAACAGTCACTGTGGTCAGGTTAACTGTCACTGTGGTCAGGTTAGCAGTCAATGTGGTCAGGTTAACTGTCACTGTGGTCAAGTTAACTGTCACTGTGGTCAGCTTAACCGTCACTGTGGTCAGGTTAACTGTCGCTGTGATCAGGTTAGCAGTCAATGTGGTCAGGTTAACAGTCACTGTGGTCAGGTTAGCAGTCAATGTGGTCAGGTTAACAGTCACTTTGGTCAGGTTAGGTTAGCAGTCAATGTGGTCAGGTTAACAGTCACTGTGGTCAGGTTAACTGTCACTGTGGTCAGGTTAACTGTCGCTGTGATCAGGTTAACCGTCGCTGTGGTCAGGTTAGCAGTCAATGTGGTCAGGTTAACAGTCACTGTGGTCAGCTTAACAGTCACTGTGGTCAGGTTAACTGTCGCTGTGATCAGGTTAACTGTCGCTGTGGTCAGGTAAACAGTCACTGTGGTCAGGTTAACAGTCATTGTGGTCAGGTTAGTAGTCAATGTGGTCAGCTTAACTGTCACTGTGGTCAGGTTAACTGTCGCTGTGATCAGGTTAACCGTCGCTGTGGTCAGGTAAACAGTCACTGTGGTCAGGTTAACAGTCATTGTGGTCAGGTTAGCAGTCAATGTGGTTAGCTTAACTGTCACTGTGGTCAGGTTAACTGTCGCTGTGGTCAGGTTAACCGTTGCTGTGGTCAGGTTAACAGTTGCTGTGGTCAGGTTAACAGTCGTTGTGGTCAGGTTAACTTTCACTGTGGTCAGGTTAACTGTCACTGTGATCAGGTTAACTGTCGCTGTGGTCAGGTTAACTCAATTTGAGAAATTAGCTGAACACAGCTTTGCAAGCAAACAAATCATAATGCGCTAGCGCCCATTATGTTGTTTGCTTGCAAAGCCGTGTCATTCAAATAGATCATAAATACCATACAAAAGCAGTTCAATGCTTAAATAACACACTCAGATATTGCCCTCACACATTTAAAAGGATTGTCATCGTTGCTCCAAAAGCAAGTTCTTTACAGTCATTTTTTCATCTCATTAAAATGTTTACCAGGTACTTGATTTTTTATGTATACCCGGTAAGTAAAGGAAAGACAGAACACTCTAGGCCAGGAAAAAACCCACACTCATCCAAATTCTTTTGTAAAAGTATCTTTCATCAAATTTCTTCAATTGAGTTATCTATAATGGTATGATACAAATGTTTTTTTACAGCATAAAACCCTGCCTGCCAACTTCTTTGTTTGACTATATCCGTGTTTGTCTTATAAGCTTGGAACGTCCTGTTTACAACTGAAGATTGTCAAGGAAGCTCTGCAGTTTTGATAGACACTGGAACAGCCAAGGTTTGGACGGACTTACAGCACAATGGCATACGACATCTTGGTAAGTATACTTCTTATAGTCATTTTGCTAATTAAATAGATATGGAGATTTGTATTTGATTAGATTGATGTTATGTTCTTCCTTAGAGAACTATGTATTTTCTTTGTAAACTACTTTTGTTAACTATGTATTTTCTTTTTAAACTATTTTTGTTAATTTGTGTTATAAGCAAAAATACCTATCTAGACTGCAAGATTTTGCAATAGTATCTACAAAGTACTATGATATGAGATTGCAAAATTACCTATATCTCTGGTGCAAAATTCCTAGCTAAGGTGTGATATCAATATTATGTGAAATATTATTGGTTGCTAAGGATACGAAAAATGCAAAATGTAACTTACATATATCCTGCGTGGAAATCTTCTGTCTTCTGGTCAGGTGCTCATATAATCCATCAAGAATAACTCTCTGCTAATAATCTTGTGTATATTATCCTGTGTGAAATTCTCCTAATATTTCCGACCAGATGAATGTGTAATCCTTTTGAGAATAAACTTTCCTGACATGAACGGTTGAATAACAGACACACAACTGATGATGTATGACACAAGTGAACACATTACAATCATGCATGATTTCGATCCAATTCCTGTCTTGAGTGTTTTCAGGCTTAAGATGTTAAAATCCCCGATGAACTTGACAATTAGTATTGACTATTGTGTCAAGTAACTCATCTATGCAGGTGTCCATATTACACGGAGCTTTCTAAGCTAACATTTAGAGTGTTAATCACTACTATCAAAATGAAAGTGAAAATGTTTGCTGATAAGGTATTTTATGAAATTGGAGCTTAGGTATGTATACGAGTCAAAAAATGTAATCAGCTCACATGGATAAGTTAGTACAAGAGCTTGCTGACACAAACAGCAGTCTGGGACAGGAATACCTATTACATATCACATGTGTGTGCCCGGTACAATACTCGAAATTTCATAAAGCAGCTGAATTGACCAACATCAATTGATACACAATAATCCCATGATAAACCTATTATCTCTCTGACGTACATTTTGTATCCAGAAACCAAAGATAAACCTATTATCTCTGTGACGTATCCTACGTTCAGAAACCTATGATAAACCTACTATCTCTCCGACGTATCGTATGTGCTGAATCCTATACAAAACCTACTATCTCTCCAAAGGCTGATTTATTTGTCAAATCCTTAGTCTGTTGTGGTTGAGATAGAGACATATCTAACCTCTTTTGTTTTTCAGATGGAACTCTGATTTTCTTCCCGCCAGAGATTGAGGAGGTGTGTGTGTTTGTAGAGGATTTCTTGGACCTTGAGTTAGTAGATGCCTGGAATATAGGTGCCACCATTTACCACGTTCTCACCGGGCGCCATCTATGGTTTGAGAAAAAACAAGAGTTCAGGATGAAGTATGGACAAAAAAACTGGAAAAAACCTATGAGGGACTATGTATGTATTTTATACTGTACTGAATTATTGGAAATCAATTTTATTATTTTTACATATCAAAATTTCACAAAATTTCAGTCTTAGATGAAGAAAGAGACAAAGGTTGCACTGTATGTGAAGTAAATAATATGTAATCATTAATTCCAAACTGATTTATGTTTTTAAAAACATCTATTTTCTCATTAAAACACGGGATTTGAGGTATTTACAAACTCTGAACTACCTTTTACTGTTGTTTTGCTTTCATGAATTTAAGTTCACATAAATTGTCATTTGAAGTACTGTATTATCTTGGAAACAGGCTTTTTTGAAGACAAAGCATCACAAGTATGCAAATCCCCTAGCTCACATTCACATGCCTTGCATGGTGAAACCATATGCACATGTACCAATCTAGTGATCAAAATGTTTTCATGCAATTTATATTAACTAGTGTGACCTTAACCTTTGACTGATAACAACAATACTAAAACAAAAACTTAGGGTGGTCGGTTGGTGCAGCACACTTGCCTTTCACCAAGGCAGCCAGGGTTTGATTCCCTGGTCGGACTTGAAAAGGTAATGGGACACCTGCTCGACAATGTGGGTTCCCTCAACTTGTTTCATAATTGTTGTTTAGAAATAATAAATAAAGGTTTCTATATTTAATGATAAAGATATGCCAAAGGAAAAACCAATGAGTGAAGTTTACATCTGTAATACAGCTGCGGATAACAAGAATTTGTTTGTAAATTTCTATACTTATTAACGGTGTGGACCTACTTACATCCTCAATATCCAGGGGTTACGCTCACTTTCGCTCTCTACACCCCTGGAATATGTCATAGCAAACTTGAAGGCACGAAGAAAGCTGTTTGATTGGTCTCGGGTAAAAAAAACCTGACCAATCGCTGGGCTGATACCTGTCCTTAGAAGATTACAAAGGAGAGACGCCTAACTTCAAAGCCTGTCAATTTTTACCGTTACGTAACGCAAGAGTCTTTTGATGTATATCAAAGGATCGAACTAGTCTTCTTGTCTCATCAACAAGGTGGCGCACACCGAGCCTTCCATTTTGCTGTGACATATTCCAAGGGTGTAGAGAGCGAAAGTGAGTGTAACTCCTGGATATCGAGGATGACCTACTTGGTAATTAACTTAAGATGACTGATGATGCTCATCCAGGTAATTGTAACTGTGAAGTTTCATGAAAATGTGTCAAGAAATATGGCTGATGGCAATGAGTGTCATGGTGACATTCTGTTTTTGTTGACCTTGAACATTGACTGATAACTATACATGTACCATAAAGACAAATACCATTGTTAGGTTTTATAAAAGTCTGTCTTAAATTTTGGTTTGGCCATGGAACATTCATGTAGAATTTTTCTTGAAATCTTTTCAGTGGTTTTAGGTGAAGACGAAAATGTAAAATGGACACAGGTGATCGCATAAGGTCATTTCTGAAATTTTGTCTCAGCAAGTTTGGGTTTTTGTTTAGACTATATATAGCTAACACAGCCTACAAAAAAGTGCCAATATACCACCATAGCTCTTAAGATAATTTTCAATACATACTTTGATTATATGTACATAATGAGTCATTCATATTGACGTTTCTCTCTTATATCCCCAGATATTGTCTGAGGGTTGGCGTGTATGCGAGTTAATCAACAGGATTGACCAATCACAGCACCCCCTTGTCACCCCACTTGTGCTGGTAATGTCACAACTCCTGGAATATGATGCTTGTCTGCGGCGTACAGCAACAGAGGTGCTTGACTTACCAGTGTTCTTGGGTAGGTGCCGCCTTTTTGATTGGGATATTTCTCAAATTCTAACAAGCATATGGTGGGCTATTTTATATGTATATTTATTTAATCACTTGAATGGCCAGATTAAAGAGTTACAACTTGCATTCCTTTTGGCAAGTCAAGTTCATCAGCTAGGTGTAAGCGTAAGGGGAGACAAAACTTGTATAGGTGTACTGATAAATGTTGTACAGTAAATGCAGAAAAATGTAGTTATGCAGTTCCACTCACTTAATCACTCATAGAAGAACAATATTACATTATACTGGGAATTTTTTCACTGCGGTTTAATTTTCCCCTTATGTGCCCTCCGTTATGAGGGCCAATTTATCATTACAGCAAGCATTAGTACATTGTACCATAAACAACTTGAAAATATAGTAGTTCAATGTGAAGGGCAAAATTAACACTGGGCGAAAAATGATTGCATGTGCGAAGGTGAAAGTTTGACTTGGCGAAAATATTCCTGTATACAGTATACGGCCTCATATATTGTCACTTGAAAGAACACTTTCTACAATGCAAGTTTTTAAATGCATAATATTTTTTCTTCATACTACATATGAAAGAGTCTGGCAGAAGTTGCTTTATCGAGTTGAGTTTATGTTTGTCCGAAATGAATATCACCTTTTAAATTTTTTGTTTGATGGGGAGCTCAAGGAGATACTCAGAACATCCTCCATAGTGTCCTCTTTAACTTCGCCACTGTGCTGATATAGATATCAACAATTTTATTTGTTATTGTCCCAGTGGCAGAGATAAATAAATAACCTTTCCACCCATGTACATATATGCTAAGTATGTGGACATACTCTGGTATACAAGAAAACATTTGCACACCAAACTGGTCTCTATTTTATCAATCAGATCAGACTATCTCCGCCCGACCAAAATATTTTAAAGGCATTTAATAGTCACTTATTTCAGACTAAAGTAATGTGTATATTGTGCAGTTAACTGTGAATATGTTGTGGTACATGCTGTGAAGCAATTATTTGTCATAAATTATAAATATGTGTTTGATAGTGACCAATGAAGTGTACATTGCAATGATAAACCAATATTAGTTTGATAGTGACCAATGAAGTGTACATTGTAATGATAAACCAATATTAGTTTGATAGTGACCAATGAAGTGTACATTGTAATGATAAACCAATATTAGTTTGATAGTGACCAATGAAGTGTACATTGTAATGATACACCAATATTAGTTTGATAGTGACCAATGAAGTGTATATTGTAATGATAAACCAATATTAGTTTGATAGTGACCAATGAAGTGTACATTGCAATGATAACCTAATTTTTGTTTGTAAATATAAGTTGTCTTAGTATAAGTGCTCATATTAGGGTAAATATTAAATCACACCTAAGTGTAGATTACCTGATGTATTTTCTTTCCATTTTAATCATGATGGTATATGAATGGGATCAAACAACAGGCTGCGCCGTTCTCTGCTGCATGCATTTGTATGTAACAGTATATATATTAAAACTTATTGTGAAATGAAAATGTATAGGGGAGATAACTCAAATTGCTAATAGAAAATGCAGGTCAAACTCTGCTGTATCTTGACCTCACCAGGGTAATGAGTGAATACTTGCCATCATCCTTCACTGGATCCTCCCCGGGAGTTCAAGATCCACACAGAGTGATCTGATGTACATATTAGTGTAGATAACATTGTACATATTAGTGTAGATAACATTTTACATATTAGTGTAGATAACATTGTACATATTAGTGTAGATAACGTTGTACATAATAGTGTAGATAACATTTTACATATTAGTGTAGATAACATTGTACATATTAGTGTAGCTAACGTTGTCCATAATAGTGTAGATAACATTTTACATATTAGTGTAGAAAACGTTGTACATATTAGTGTAGATAACATTGTACATATTAGTCTAGATAACATTGTACATATTAGTGTAGATAACATTTTACATATTAGTGTAGATAACATTGTACATATTAGTGTGGATAACATTTTACATATTAGTGTAGATAACATTGTACATATTAGTGTGGATAACATTTTACATATTAGTGTAGATAACATTGTACATAATAGTGTAGATAACATTGTACATATTAGTGTAGATGATATTGTACATATTAGTGTAGATAACATTGTACATATTAGTGTAGATGATATTGTACATATTAGTGTAGATGATACTGTACATATTAGTGTAGATAACATTGTACATATTAGTGTAGATAACGTTGTACATATTAGTGTAGATAATGTTGTACATATTAGTGTAGATAATATTGTACATATTAGTGTAGATAATATTGTACATATTAGTGTAGATAACGTACATATTAGTGTAGATAATATTGTACATATTAGTGTAGATAACATACATATTAGTGTGGACATTTGTCTCAACATCAATGTAAATATTAACTTATGTATTCTTTGTTGTAAAAATCAATCAAAATTTGATGTCACATTGTTGGAGTCATGAGAAATCTTAAAACATGCATAAAAAAGGAATCTTGCATTTCATGCAATTTAAACAGCTGCAAAATGTGTTACAATATCACAAATACTTTTGATAGAAATGTTAAATATAATACATATTTAAGATTTGAATTCATTTAAAATCATATTTTCAAAATTAATTTTTCAGAAATGAGACAACAACAAATCCCCAGTTGTGCAGCAGGAATGGGTGAACCACAAGTAGGGGATGGGGCCATCACCATTCCTCATTGTAGGGCAGGGAAGAGCAGAAGGTTTCCAGGTATGACAATTATAGACTGTCTAGATTTATACAGACAGAAGGTTCCTAGGTAAGACAAGTACAGACTGTCTAGATATATACAGACAGAAGGTTCCCAGGTATGACGAGCATAGACTGTCTAGATATATACAGACAGAAGGTTTCCAGGTATGACAA